GTTTTACGTGCACTTTAATTAGCACAGACGAAGTGGTGGTATTTCGTGATGATAGGTTTTCGCACGAGACACCCTGTAATATCTGACATCCCATTGCTTTTGAAACGAGCCTTAATCTCCTCCTTGTTACAAGCAAATATAAAACATCCCTCTCTTTTCTCAATGTAACACCTCACCCCGCCACACATACACACACTATTCTTTGTATATTTTCTTTCTCCTCATATATATATACATATATATAGGGGTTGGGAACCTAGTTCACACCCTTTTGTGAAATCGGGACACGCGATGTTCGCATCATCAGCACTACATAATACACGTCAAACAATGTTTATATAATAAGATATGATAAATAAATAAAAACAATATAAATTTTTTTAAATCAAAATTCTAAATCTAGTATATTATTAATTTTTATATTCTTAATTAAAATTAATAATAATTTATTAATATTATTAATTTAAATTAATTTAAATATAATTATTAATTATAATATACTTTATAATATTACGTAATATCATTAAAAATATTATTCATTAATAAATAAATTATTAATATTTTGTAATGAAATTGTAAATACCCAAAGGGTATACAAATCAGTATTATTATTATTATTATTATTATTATTATTATTATTATTATTATTATTATTGTTATTATTATTATTATTATATTATATTACTATTATTAATATTAATTAGATTTTAATTATAATTATATAATATACACGCAGAGAAATATTTTATTGGCGTTTATTTTAGACAAATAAAATTTAGTTGAAGCAAATAAAAACATATTTGTCTGAGAGCCTAAGAACTTTTTATTTGTTTTAACTAAAAAAATTTATTTAGAACAAATAAAATTTTGTTTAGCGTAAATAAAATTTGTTATTTAACTCAAATAAAATTTATATGAAACAAATAAATATTTATTTCACAGAAAATTAAAAGGCATTAAAATAAATTGCAACGCTTATTATTTTAATCCAATTTTGCTTATTTTAATCCATTTTGATATTAAAATAAGCAAAATTGGATTAAAATATTAAGCGTCGCAGATTATTTCAATACCTTACAATTTTCTGTGTTGTCTCTGAAAAAAATTGTATCTTTTGTTTAGGTTATTACTTATTAATTAATTAGTTATAATTAATAATATTATTCTCGATATTATTAATTATTATAATTAGTAATAATATAATTAATTATATTATTTTAAAAATATTATTAATTATTTATTTCTTTAAAATAATTTAACCTTGTTTATTATTTTTTTTTTCATTATTACATACTCTAATTATTTCAAACATTGTCGCGGTTTGAAAAATCAAGAAATTTATATTCTAATAACTTAATTGTGTATAATAAATGAAATGACAGATATAGAAATGGAGACATATAATACGCGTGATTAATAAGATGATGATGATGATTTTTTTTCCTCCACACTCCACTTGGTAAATAATAATTATATATAATATACACACAAGTGTCGAGTGTTTTTACCAATGAAGGTAATTTATAAAATATGATGCAATTTGTATATACGAGGTATAGGATGTCCATAAATGAACCGAGAAAATTGAGGACGGAGATTTAAAAAAAAAAAAAAAAAAAACGAATTAGAAATTAGACGAGATAAGTGGTTTTATGAATGGATTTTTAGAAATTATTATACGAGTGGCGCCAAAGTCATTTCATTTCATTGACGAAAAAAAAGCTTTGATCCTAATGTGGTAGAAGACCTTGTGTCTATATACAAAAAAAGTAATTCATCATTGGTGCGTATATATATATATATATTATATGTATGATATAAATATGGAATACGTATGGATAAAACATTCTTTTTAAATCCGTTAATATCATTCATAAAATTAATTACTAAAATTGATAAATAGACAACAAATTAAATACTTTATTAGCATCAAAGAAATGTTTTCTTTAATTTGAAGATTTATTTGATTTAAAGAAAATTTTTTTATTCTAAATTAAACTCTTTTTGAAATCGAAATAATTTTTTTTTTGGTTCAAATAAATATTTTTTGATTTAAATAAATATTATTTCATTTAAATATAAATTTTATAAATCTTATTAATAAACTATAACGGTCACTAACTTTCATATATATACACAGAAAATTAAAAGGCATTAAAATAAGCTGCAACGCTTCTTATTTTAATCCAATTTTGCTTATTTTAATCCATTTTGGTATTAAAATAAGCAAAATTGGATTAAAATAAGAAGCGTTGCAGCTTATTTTAATGCCATTTAATTTTCTGTGTATAAATATAAATTTTATTATCGCTAAATAAAATTTTATTTCACCTTAATTAATTTTTTTATTTCAAACAAATAAAAAGTTATATTATTTTTTGAAACGCAAATATAAATTTTAATCTGATTCAAATAAATTTTATTTGTCCTAAATAATCCAAAAAAAAAAGTTTTTTCTGAATGCTAAGCGCAGCAATGAGAAAAAATATAATACTTATTGTCTCAAATACAAATATATAAAAATAGCTTTATATAAAAAAAAAAAAAAACTTAAAACTGATTATATTCATTTATAGATAACAACTTTATAACAATTCTTATTTTTCAGTTACAACAACGCTCTATACTTATTTTTCCTGAATAATTTTACCATATATTATCCATACGTATATATAAATTTTAATATCGTTAAATTATGTATATATGTCCTTATAAATGTTTTTGTATATATATATATATATATATAGAAAAGAGAAAAAAGAATAGTACAAATTTATTTCGGTTTTTTTTTTTTTCATTTCCCCGGGAATAACTTAAAAACAATAATCCGGTACATTAATAATGTAACAGCTTTTGAGTTACCTTATGATTTCCACTGAAAGGGGCGTCAAATATTCAAAAGATAACGACTTGCTAGGAGTCCATTAAATTCTTGAATATCATGCAATATCAAGAGAGCTGCCTGCAGACGACCTTATAAGGGAAAAGTCGTAGAAACTTGAACAAGCACTATATAAATGATCTCATAAGGCTTCTAATGTGTTTTTAATCGGGAGAGTTTGAAATTCAAATCGTATCGACTCTTGTTTCTTATATAATATAAGGACGACGGTCTGATGAAAGAAAGGGTCAATTACTATATACTTATATTTATATAGTGCCACTCTGTCGTAACCACACATTAGTCTATTTATATATATAGAATTAAAAGGGTTATTGACCACAATTAACGCAAATGTGACTTTTATATAATTATTATTATACTAATAAAAAAAAATTTATTTGATTCAAATAATCGGTTATTACTTCATCAAATAAATGTTTACTTAACCAAATAATTTTTATTTGAATTTAATATTTTGTATTTGGAAATTTACTATATTTGAAAAAGAAATATAATTTGATTGATTCAAATAATAATTATATTCATCTAGAAAAATGATTTATTTCAAACAAAGATAATAATATATTTGAGTTAAATAAACGTATATATTTGTCACAGAGAAAACATTTATTTGTTGCGAGTAAATATTTATTTGTTGCAAGTAAATTTTATTTTTCATTAATAAAATATTTATTTAAATCAAATAAAATTTACTTGCAACAAATAAATATTTACTTGCAACAAATAAATATTTATTTGAAACAAATAAATATTTATTTGGCTCTGAGACAAATATATCTTTACTCTGGGTGTTTAAGTACAAATAAATATTTATTTGATAGGAAAGAAATATTTATTTGTCAAATAACCGTTTATTTGAATCAAATAAATATTTATTTGTCAAATAACCGATTATTTAAATCAAATAAATATTTATTTGTCAAATAACCGATTATTTGAATCAAATAAATATTTTTTTCAATGTATCAAAAATTGTTCTATAAATTTTTTTTATCAAAATTTAATAAACTTGGTATGAATTTGTTATACTTTCGAAACCACATTGAAAAAAAAATTTACTTGTTTTCAATAATCGATTACTTAATTATAAAAATATAAGTATTTGTCTTAAATAATTTATTATTTAAATCAATGAAACAAACAGTAAAAATATTTCTCCGATTTAATGAAATCAATTTCTTTGACAAATTTTTCTTTGCAAAGACAATTTATTTGTTTCAAACAAAATTTTTTTGAATCAAAAAAATCATCTTTGTTTCAAAGAAATTTTTTATTTAATTCCAATAAATGTTTCTTCGACCCTACATATATATCATTATTAGAATTTTTTTAATTTAATGCACAAATTTCTTTGAATCAAAAAAATTTTGAAACTAAGCTTTTTTGTTTCAAAGAAAATTTTATTTTAAATGAAAGATAAAATATAAGTCAAAAGAAATTAGTTTCTTTAAATCAAAGAAATATCTTTTCTCTTGGGTGTAATGTTATTTCTTTCAAATACAGAAATTATTTGTTCAAATAAAGAAATTATATTGCTTCAAATATAATTTATTTAATTCAAATAAATTTTTTCTATCATCCGAATATGCAACGACAAAAAAAAAATTAATAATCCACCAATGGCCATCTTTAGAAAAAAAAATTTCGATTCATATAACTCAGTGTGTATATATGTAAAGTAGATATACATATAAAAAAAAGGAAAAGAACAAAGGTTTAAAAAAAATACGTGAGCAGAAGATAAAGGAATAGGGGTGGGTTGAAACGGGGGGGGAGAGAGAGGAAGAGAAGTAAAGAAGAGGCGGAAGAGTTAAGTCGCTGCGCGTGCTTATCCCCCCCCTTCAGATTCTACTCTTCAAGAGACACAGAGAGAGAGAGTAAAGTGTGTGCGCGCGCATTTCACGGTTAAATTACGGTTCGCTTCGAAGATATAACATATATAGTGGTGGGGGAGCGAAAGTCCAAGTGGGCTTTGCTTAGGGGCGGATTGGGGGCGGTGATCCATTCTCCCAGTTACCCGCCCTACAGCTCTGCCCCCTTTTTTTTTTTACTCTCTTCTTTTTCTCTTGCCTGCGGAGGTCTCCTCGGCTCGGCTACAATTCCCTACTACCAAAGCACATTCACTACACCAAACCCGGACGTGTTTGAGTGAAGAGAACCCCGATCGTGTTTGCCCGGCAGTCTGTCACGGGGCGAAGAGCGGGAACCATCACACGCTTAACCGGTTCCCCGAAAAAAAAAAAAATTGTTTTTTCTTCAACAATATATTTTGTTTTTCCTTTTCTCTTCTTTGATCCGAGTGTTGAATAATTTTTTTTTTTTTCCTCCCCTTGTGTAATAAATATATATATATATTTCGAGATAAAATTTTTTTATTATTGACGCAAACATTGTTGTCAGAGGGAATAAGTTTGCTTCCCTTGGGGAGCTGGACCTCTGGCAAAGAGAGGCCTATCACGAGATGTTGACTGATATGACACCAGCGGCGGCTGGTCAACTCTATCCTCAACTACAATCAATCAGCAAGACACCAGTTCATGGTCATGTGGTGAGTGTGTTATTAATTCTCAGTGTTGTGATATAATAGAAAAAGAAAGTTCACCGTCGGAAAATGTGTCGGCTAAAAAAGTGCATGCGGATATAAGGCCAATTGAATATGAGAGAGGAGAGATTTTTATCTTAATCCGCAGAGCAGGTAAAACCTGGGAATCTTAGATCAGGTGCTACTGTCTGACTTGTCACCTTACGATGGTTTTTTTTTCGATCAATGGCCATGGATAAGATCAACGGTCCTGTCGGCAAATTAGTACCTGCTCAGTCTGCCTTTAGTGTCTTTGAATTAGCTTCTTCTTATTCCTCCTCTTCTTCTTCTTCTTCTTTTGTGTATATATACTCTCTTTGATCATTTTGTGCCGTGTGCTCCTGATCCTTATCGTGATTGCCTCTCCGAATGAACATAGTCATTCTGTCTATTAGAGATGGTGACTCTCCTATCAATACATATATGCGGATAATTATATGGTTCCTACATCACTCTCTTAATGTTTTCTTTAGAATTTTATGAACCTTGATCACCTCAAAGATAACAGGAAAATTGTTGTCTTTAGATAGCAGTTGTTCTTTTTTCGTTGACATTATTATTTTATTTTTTATTTTTAATGCTAATCTGTAAATTGTGACTCTACGGAGAATCATATACATAAATTTCTGTTGTTGATCTTTTCGAGCCTCTGAAAAGTCTTTTCTAAGACATGAGGAATCAAGTATATATTCTGCTTTCTGATTTTGAACCATTCAACAACCTTGTGCAGTATCTGTTTCATGAATCTAGTGCTAATTCTTCTTTTTGATTTTGAACCTTGTGCAGTATCTAAATTTTTTGTTCCAAGAATCAGGTGATAATTCTTCGTTTTGATTTTGAACCTTCTCCAGCATCTAAATCTGTTTCAAAAATCAAGTGCCAATTCTTCGTTTTGATTTTGAAGCTTGTGCAGTATCTAAATTTTTTATGTTTCGAGAATCAGATGCTGATTCTTCGTTTTAATTTTCAACCTTCTCCAGCATCTAAATCTGTTTCAAAAATCAAGTGCCAATTCTTCGTTTTGATTTTGAAGCTTGTGCCACCAGTATCTAAATTTTTGAATCTGTTTCGAGAATCAGGTGCTAATTCTTCTTTTTGATTTTGAACCTTGTGCAGTATCTAAATTTTTTAATCTGTTTCGAGAATCAGGTGCTAATTCTTCTTTTTGATTTTGAACCTTGTGCAGTATCTAAATTTTTTAATCTGTTTCGAGAATCAGGTGCTAATTCTTCTTTTTGATTTTGAACCTTCTCCAGCATCTAAATCTGTTTCAAAAATCAAGTGCCAATTCTTCGTTTTGATTTTGAAGCTTGTGCAGTATCTAAATTTTTTATGTTTCGAGAATCAGATGCTGATTCTTCGTTTTAATTTTGAACCTTCTCCAGCATCTAAATCTGTTTCAAAAATCAAGTGCCAATTCTTCGTTTTGATTTTGAAGCTTGTGCCAGTATCTAAATTTTTGAATCTATTTCAAGAATCAAGTGCTAATTCTTCTCTTTGATTTTGAACCTTGTGCAGCATCTTTATATATTCAAATCTGTTTCAGAAATCAAGTGCAATTCTTCCCTCTGTTTCCTAACCTCTGTCAACAACAGTATCTTTAAATTTGAATCTGCTTCCGATTTGACCCGCATTAAAATCCTATAAATACTTGTACTGGTATTTCGGTGTTCATAAATCTTCTTTAAATTCTTGATCCATCTTTTCAAGTATATTCTATTTCTAAAATCTTTTGTTTGAATTTGCAAACATAATTCTGGTACCAAATCATCCTCTTCTATAAGATCCTAATTATATATATTCTAATTCCACATCATTCTAATGTACCATCAAAGCTCAAAACTACATTTCTGCCACGCACTCGAAATGAATTATCATTCACCTATTCCTTAAAATAGCATTTCTTTTTATGATCCTCGGAACAAAAATCGAAAAAGAATTCACAATAAGGGAAATCCTCTTTTGGTATATAAGAGGGAAAAATCCCCCTTGATCCCTATGCGGATTATCCGTTTCTGTTTTGACGTGCCAGTATTCAGAATATATTTAACTATTACTATTTCAACATTAGTTTTCTTTATATTCTTCTAGAAATAAGATTCTCTTTTTTTCTCTCTCTCTCTTTTTCGATGAAACACACACGTGTTCGCGAATTTTATTTTATGACTCGGCATAAGGACGCTCTCGCCGATGATTTACGAGTCAACGTTTTTTTTTTTTTTAAAAAAAAGTAATTAAATCCTCTCGGCATCCAAAAAAAAGGCATATACGAATATTAATTAAGTGCGTAGAAGTCCTTTTGGACCGCAAACATATATTCTCTACTGAAAATTAATCTTGACGACACACGTGCGTGTCACATTTTTTTTTAATATTAAATTTTTTTTTTTTACCGAAAAAAGAACTCTCCAATAAGGTTTTTTTTCTAATTCTTGCGTCATCGTATACGCCCTTACTTGAACTTTATAATAAAAACATAAGCTAATATAGCCGGCACGATTCATCGATATAATCAATCGACAGTTCGTAGAATTGGAAAAGAAATCGCGCGCGATGAAAGAAAAAAAAAAAAAAAGCACCTGCTTGGAAGATAATTTGCTTCTTCTCGTCGGGCGATGATGAACTTTCATTATCATTGGCGGATGTATATATAGTCTTTCGAAATCTCGCAGGCAATTTGTCATATATAGAGGCGCGCACCTTTGAGTCAAACATTAAGCAAATAGGACCATATGTTCTTTGAAAAAAAAAAATGTATATTTATATCCTTAAATATCCTTTCTCATCTTTCAAATGATTTATTTCCTACTATATTATTTTTACCGTACTTCTATCCGGAGAAGGATTATTATCATCATCATCATTTTGCAAACATAATTTTTATCTTCATTTGCAAAGTTTTCTTTTATCATATTCATTTAAGATAAAGTTACAGTAAATAAATTTATTTGAAACATATATAATTCATTTTACCAAAAATTATCCTCATTAGCTGAGGGGAACTTTTTGTAATTCAAGAAGCACTTGAAATGTATCAAGTGTCCTTATATATATATATATTTATATGTTGTGGAGTCCTTGTGCAAAGGACCCTTAAGGATCAAAGGGACCTACCTGTATTATATCCTTCTGAGCCAATTATTTATCTGATCTCTTTTCAATTTTGGAGCATCACTTGACAGGATGCGTGGGATGCAACTTGATCTCAACTTCCTCTCGTCACTTGACGCCACACGTGGAATTCCCCTTCACACTGTGAAAAAAATTTCAAAAATTAACATTAAATATAAAAATTTTATATTATTTTATAATAGTAAAAATTATTATTTATTTATCATTATTCTTTGCAAATTTTTTTTTTTTGTCTTTAGTCTTTTACTGAAACATTGTTAGAGAAAAAAAAAATTTTTTTTTTTTTATAAGATATTGCGTAAGGAGATTTTGTTATTTTCAAATTTTTCAATTCTCGCTCCACTTCACTTTTCCAGTGGTGGGTTCAAATAATCCGTTAATCCGATTCGACATGTAAAAGTAGTACTATGTTCTTTTGAAAAATTTAAGCGTCGCTCGGCTGACATTCTCGAGTAGCTATGACAATGGACTGCGAAACGGACACAGAGTGAGCTTGTTGTAATGCATTTTGAGCCATTCGTCGCACAGCGGGAAAGAAAAAAAAAAAAGACCCTTTTTATGTGTGATCCATATGTACAGTTATACCTGAAGCACCAATTCACACCGGATATTCCGGACTTGTCAACCTAATTTGTCTTTTTTTTTTTTTTTTTTTTTGAACATTTTGTTTTCATACCAACCGCAAATACCTCATATTCAATTTTTACACTAGAAAAAAAGTGACACTTTTTACAAATATGAATTGAATTTCTGAAAAATCTTTTGTAGTTTTCGCACTTTACAAGTGTAAACAAAAATTGAAAAATTTTTACCTCTTTTATGTATAAAAAACCAGGGAAAGGATGACAGTTGACCCTTGATAATGGAGACGAAATTAGTGACCAATTATCGAGAGTCAACTGTATTTTTTGTTTTTTAATATCAAAATATCGAAAAAAACGTTGCGATTTGAAAAAAGAAAATAAAACAGTGAACCCTTGATAAATGGGACAAAAATTATGGTCAAGTGTAGTTTTTTAAAATTTTTATCAATTCGATTTGTTGTCGAGAAACAATTCGGTAAACATTGCAATTGCAATAAGAAAACACTGAACTCTCGATAATTGAGACAAAAATTATGATCAATTATCAAGAGTCCAGTGTACTTTTTTTGAAAAGAAAAATTCGGTAAACATTGCAATGGCAAAGAAAAATAAAATAATGCCCTCTATAGTTGAGACAAAAAATGATGACCAATTATCGAGAGTCTAGTGTATTTTTTCTTTTCGAGAATAATTTTTATCCAAATATCAACTCGATATTCTCGTATGACGCTTGATTAATGTTTCGTAAGGAATGTATGATTCTTCAGTTAATTTACCTATCATTATGCCCCCATGTTTAACAACACAGGGACAAATTGGCGAGTTTTTATTACAGTCGTTTATAAGAAAACGCGTTTCTTTAAATGTTTTTACGATTTTGAATGATAAATAGGTAATAAAAAGTTTGAGAAAAAAAAAAAAAAATGAGAGGTGTATATATATAACCCGCATAAAGAGAGAGGGGCTGGTGTTTCAATGTTATATTCAAACTGCGTGTATATCGTGTAAGTAAAGACTGAGGTGTAAGAGTCGCCATTTATAAACGACCCGGTGTAACTTGTCGCATTTGTGTGTGATCGCGTTTTCTAAACGGCAGATGTTCTCACAGTGACAAAATAGCCACCATTCTTCATTCACGCGAACACTATAATATATTATATTATATATATATACATATATAGCTAAAAGCGGTGTTCTTATAAAGTTATAATATGATTGATCGATTTTCAAGCAATGAGCCTGCCAATATGTCATCAGAATTAACAATTTAAAAAAAAGGTGTTAACTTTCTTTTTTTTTTTCTTTACTTTGTTGAAATATTTGACAAAACACTTTTTTTCGGGGGGCAAAAATAATTATAATTACAAAATGAAACCAAAGAAAAATACAAAATTGAACAAATTATTAGAAAATACAGAAAAATCATAATTTATAATAAGATTTTGTAAAATGTTAAAAAGAATGTCTTTTTTTTAGGCAAACTTATAATTTTTTAAAGCAATTTTAATAACAGTATACAGTTTTTTTATTATTCTTTGTCTTAATATTCTTCACGCTGTTGGAAATCAATTTTAATGATTGTGTCACTAAATAAATAAGAATCATGAAAATAATGATTTCTTTGCTTTATATTCAAAATGAAAAAAAAAACGATCTGTAAACGTAATTATCAAAAACTTTTTGTTCGGGGGAAAAAAAATTGATTGAACGGACAAAGTAGAAAGTTGAGGCTATTTTTTGTGCTGACTGGAGAGCCGCATTTTGTATAGTCACGTGAAATCCCCTCTTTGATTAAATTTTGTTAAACGGTCCACGCATCCGAAACTCGTTTCTATATATATATATATATGTAACAACCGAGAAGAGTAAATAATTCTAAAAACATGAAAAAAAGGTCGGAAACAAAAATTAGAGACAAAAAAATTTTTTTTTAAACACATTACAAAATACGTTTAAATAAATATATAATTATACTAGATATTAAAAAAATTTTTTTTTGTTATTTGAATAAAATTAAACTAAAAATATTTTCAAAATGAAATTTTTTTTTGTTACTGAATCATGTAACTGTTGTGATAATTAAAAAATTTGAAATTATTTATTACATCCAGAGAAATTTTTTATTCGAAACAAATAAATTGAATTAAATATAAATGTATATATTTGTCTCAGAGCCTAATAACATTTTTATTTGCAAGAAATAAATATTTATTTGAAACAAATAAAACTATTTTTTTATATATATATTTTTGTCAATTTTTGAAAAAAAAAAAATAGAAAATTTGTAGAACTTCCCTCGAAGGGTGTCAATAACCACCCGTGGCGCGAATCAAAACAGAAAACTTCCCGTTACCACATCACTATATATATATATATATATATATATATATATATATATATATATATATATATATATATATATATATATATATACACGAGAAGTGATTTATTAAACCGATGATATGTCCGATTGAGTGTGGCTCTGGAGATGAATTAACAGATGGACATACTGTATTGATACAAGAGATTGTGCTCATTTTTTTTTTTCATCAATACGTTTTCAATCACCGATACAGAACCTCAAAAAAAGTTCTACAATCACAATTTTAGTCGCACATTAAAATTATAAAAAAAAAATTTTTTTAAATCTAAAGAAAAGTTGAATTAAATAATTTCAAGTTTTTTTTCAAATTTTGCAATTCCTCTCCCCTTTTTTTTACTGTCTGTTCTCGGTATTTGAAGGAAGCGCACGAAGGTGATCGGTATCTGTTAAAGAAACATGCAAGTATTTAAAGAAAAACCGGTTTTTGGGTAATTGCACATATAACAAAAACCGATAACTGATAATCTGAAAGTATCACTATATATACATTAAAAAAAAAAAAAATTTTCTCGAGATAGGGAAACACGGACAGGATGAGCTCAGTCCAGCGACAGAAAAATATTCTTTAGAATAATGGTACAATTTTTATTTCCAATAAAAAAAAATTTCTTTATATTTTAAAAAAAAACCAATAAAGTATTTAAAAGTAGAAATAAAAATATATGACTTTCTCTCAAGGTTTATAATAATAACAAGTTTTGAGGTGAGACAAAAATAATTTTTCCTATCAGGAAAAACGTGACTGTATTATTAATGCCTTTAACTTTGTAACTGGCTAATTAAATCGAATGGAGCGATTTGCTGCGGTTTCTTTTGCATTGGTGTGTATATGGTGTTATATTCGTCGTCGTCGTTGTTGTCGTCGTCTGATCGCATCGCATCGCTCGCGAACAAAATGTATATATATATATATATACACACACAGAGAAATTACAGCATCGCGAAGAATTTAAATTGCTTTCTCGACTTCGCACGAAACTATTAAAATATCGCGCGCGTCTCGTCGGCGTCGACTGTAATCGTCTAATGATTATTATCTTTCTCTATTTTCCACGTACGCACTACCTGATGCTATACTTTTTTTTACTATGGTCAATTGATACGTCAAAACTGGTGGTGTGCGCACCAATTATGCCAACTGTATCTATATAATACAGTTATACAAAAGAAATTCATCTCTCTCCTATTTTTTTTTCTTCTATTTTCTCTTTTTTTTAAATCTAAATAAAAATTTACTCACAGCATAGTTGAAACTACCTTCGGTTAAAACTATCATAACTTAAACTACCTTTGATTAAAACTACCTTCAGTTGCAACTACCGTATTTAATCTTTAATTTAAACTACCATATTTAATCTTTAATTTAAACTACCATAGTTAAAATTACTTTGGGAGAAACCTACAATTGTTAAAATTACCTTTTGTTGAACCTACCATGTTTAAAACTACATTTGGTTGAGCCAACCATAGTTTAAACCACCATGAGTAAAACTACCTTTGGTTTAAGCTACTATGGTTTAAACTACCATGATTGTAACTACTTTCAGTTAAACTAGCAAAGGTTTTAACCACAGTGATTAAAACTACCTTTGGTTCCATTTACCATGGTCGAAGTGATTAAGATTTTAACTAATGTCAGTTGAAACAACCATAGTTAAAACTATTTTTAGTTTAAACTACCCAGTGTTAAACTACGATAGCTAAAAGTACCCTGGATTACGCCTACCATTATTGAAACTACAACGGATAAAACTATCATTGATTTAAACTATTATGGTTTAAACCACCATAGCTAAAACTACCTTTGGTTAAACCTACCATGCCTAAAACTACCTTCGGTTAAACATACCATGCCTAAAACCACCTTTGGTTAAACCTACCATAGCTAAAACTACCTTTGGTTAAACCTACCATAGCAAAAACTACCTTTGGTTTAATCTACCATGCCTAAAACTACCTTTGGTTAAAGATACCATACCTAAAACTACATTTGGTTAAACCTACCATGCCTAAAACCACCTTTGTTTAAACCTACCATAGCTAAAACTATCTTTGGTTTAACCTACCATGCCTAAAACCACCTTTGGTTAAACCTACCATAGCTAAAACTACTTTTGGTTAAACCTACCATGCCTAAAACGACCTTTGGTTAAA